AAGTTTGATTTTTCACAGTCTGGATGTTTAAGCCTTTCTATTAGGAATTTCCTTTCTTACAAAAGACAGCTCTCTTCCAATAAAACCATACCCTATAGCTTTATAGGTAAAAATACAAAGGAATAAAAATATATTCTGAATCCTTATGATGAATATGAATACTAGCCTCAGCAGGCTTACCTATACATACAGAATGAGGAAAAAGAACTTGTAGCATTAGCTTTTGGATATTAAACTTCCAAAGACTTCGCATGAATGTGGGGTTTGGGGTTGTGGTTTTTTACTATTATTATTAACAACAACATATCCCTTTCCTTTTTCTGACTACTGGAGTTTGGTTCAAAGCTTTATGTAGTTTCAGTAGAGTTTCAATACTAGGACAGGCTTCTGGGCATTATCAACTAGTTTTGTAAACAAATTTGATGTGTATACCATCATTATTACAAGATGGCGTATAACGAATAAGAAATATACTACTTAATTTTTTCCAACATGCATCAATCCACAGATGTAACCTGGGATGAACACATAATTTCAGCTAATGTCTTAGTTGACTTTGCCCTGAACCAGATGATTAGTCTTTGCCACAGAAAGCTATTGTGGACAAATTTGTGGGACAAACATCAAGCTGTCACAAAAGTGTTTCAAAACTACTTTAAGATATTGCCCTAGAGATTAGCCTCAGATATTATTTATAAAGGGGCAGATCTTCATTCAGCACAAGTAGTTCCATCAAAAAAAAAAACAAACCACCAAACCAAAAAAACCACATACTGATGAACTACTCACATGGGTAAAGCAAAGTCGATGTGATGCCCATTTATATTTTTACTGCTGCATAACCTAGAAGTTTCTTGTCTCTGGCTTCTCACTTAACGGTCAAGTTTATCACCCCAGGCCTAATCCTAAAAAGATGCTGAACTACCTGAAAGGTCCTGAAGAAACACAGCCTCCACCTGACTTGGCTGGATCAGGCCCTTTGAGTGACTGAGCTAGGAATATGACAAATCAGGTATACAATCCTGGTATCATAAAATATGAAACTGAAACCATTCCCTGGTGCTTTCCCGTAGACCACATGTTTTTAAACCTTAAAAAGATTTATTTCCCACTTTTCATGCATAATCTGCCATATTCATTATTTGAAATATCCCATAAAGAGATTAAATAGGAATTAAAGTCTGGCAGCGTCATATCCATCACTGTGGTACAAACTGATGCCGAATTCTAGAAGTCTTTTAGCTTTGTATGTAAAGGCAGTGGCTGTTTTCACTTTGTTTCACAAAGAATAAGGAAAACACAATACCCCAGAAGACTTTCAGATGTGTTTTTTCCCCTTCAAAGAAAAGGGTGGATGATAAAGCTACACACACCTTTTAATCTTCCACTTAGGGTTTTTACACATATATTCCCTGGCAAAAACCCCAGGGTCTTCTCTCTCCCCTCCCCTTCCCTCAGCCCCTTTCCTGCCATCTCCCTTGCTATAACTCAGCTAACCCAACAGAACCAGTCAGTTTTAAATTTCAGTTGGGACCCCGGTGACCTGTTAATGAATCTACAGAGAGGAGAAAAACTCACAGTCTTGAGTTATGCCTGGTGTTGCTAGCTGACTTGGAGTCAGAAATGCTTGAAGCGTTAACGTAATTGCAAGAATGTGAAAAATGAAGCGTTGGGCTCCTGAGCAAAGCGAAAGGTCAAAGCAAGCCCTACACAAAACAAGTCTCTGGAAGATGGCCTCATTAGACCATTAAATCAGCTTCTTCTTTTTCTCCTTTGTAAGATGTTTAGAGTGTTTTATTTTTATTATTGGATATATTTAACTCTTTGTCTTTCCAGGACAGGGGCAAAGTTGATCAGACCTACTACATAATTACTAATCTCTAAAATGGTATTACACAGCATTGATCTGCATTTGTGGATCTAAACTGGGATAAAGTCAATAAATGCTTGGTAGATTACAGGTCACTAGTACTTTGGTTTGCTAGATGATCAATATGTTGTATAGCTTAGTTTTCTGTTGAACAAGTGAGGTGACATGTTAAGAACAACATAGACACTCGCCACTAATAAAATTAGGATAATCTTTCAACATTTATTGCCTGAAGGCCCTTTCTTTAACTCTTTCAGTGCCTGCATGTTTCTAATAATACCAAGCATTGACTAGATTAACCCTTTTGATGCACTGTTGTGGAAAGACTTTCCTCCATAAACAGACAAAATGCCTACACCTTTTTTGTTTGGTTCTAACTTTAAGAATTATGGATGGATTCTTCTGTGCAATAAATAGATCTACCTCATGCAGAGAAAGTCTGCAAAAATAACGTCACCACTCACCTAACTCCTTTCCACCCCCCATCCCCCCCCCCAAAAAAACAACCCACAAGCTGCACTTCACAGACTTAAGGCAAAAGCAGAGACCCCTGGAAAGAGTCCTCCCAAGAGCCAGAAGAGACTGACTCCAGTTTGAATCAATCTCTGCTGCCACCAGGCATCAGCGGAGGAGACCATAAGTTGCTAATGTAACCCAAGACTCCCTAATGAGCTCCCATTCCCAAGAAATCCGTTGGGGGAAGAGGAATACTTGAAGCAACATTCGTGGAAGGTCTTGACAAAACTGTAGGGAAACCAGGTTGACCCAAATAAGTAACTGCACCAGAATAGCTCAAGAGGGCATCACCCATCTTGGCATTGCCTGGGACCGACTCACTGCCAGTTCAGGAGTTATAAAGTAAACCCTGCCCCCCTTAAGGAAGCCTAAGGAAAATTTAATACGGGCCTCCCTCTCTTTAGTCTTTCCCAGAGTTGAGAGGGGGAGAGCAATCCAAAGCTGTCTCCAATGGGAATTTTGTCGGTGCTGTAGGATCATACATCTTTCAGCTGCCAGCAGATGAGTGGAATGCTGATTTGCCACTGGACGACTGCTTCCCTTTAAAAGGCCCAGCTGAGCACAAAGGAAAGCATACTAGTGATGTTTTACCCTGCTAGACTGGGCAGCGCTAGTGACTGATTTGGCCCTTCAGCAGTTGTTCCCCTTCTCCAGGAATGAGTGTAACAGGTTTGTTTAAATCATATATATTACCAGAAACCTCAGTCTCCAACAGAAAGTTGGTGTAGTTATCATCAACTACTTTTTCTTACACTTCGCAATATTTCTCAAGCACCTCGAGTTAGGTGACAAGGGATCAGGGACTAGTGAAATGCAAGATCCCTGGATATCAATACAAGGGATTTCTTTACATCAAGCATGGCTCGATGAAGAAACTCTTCTAATTTCTACGGGGTTGCTGGGACAGAGTGGAGATACGAGCATGAGGAAATTTCTTACCTAGGGGTGGAATGAACACGCTGTGGCAGATGACTCAGAGGAATCATTTTTAAGTATGCAAATGATCATCTGCTACACCAAGCATCTTAGCCACAATATACAACGTAAACATTTGATCAACAGTAAAGTCTATGGCCAGCTAATAGACATAACAGGGATTTGCTGCTTAGCGGTCAAGCTCTCCCTTTCGTTAGCTGCTGAAGCTGTAATAGTTCACGCTGGGCCTCGTACAGCTCCGATCCAACCACACGGAAAAAAAGCCTGCGTGACTCACGTTGGAGTTGGATCACACCCTGTTCCATGGCTGCTTTCTATCGGCAGTAAGATAACAAATGTATAAACAATTCATACAAATAGGAGACAAACCTAAACCACTCTACCAGAAACAAACTTTGCAAGTTCCTAGAATGGCAACAGCTACGACACCGGATCGCGAGACAGACGAGGGGATCTAGCTCTGTGCCAAGCAACGGGCCACGTGAGAGACGTGAAGTCACGTATCTGCTCTGCCACCTAGGCGTGGTAAATACCATAGTGGGAAGTGGCCCGTGGTGCAAGGCTAGTCACGGCAGCTCTAGCCTGAAGGCTGCTCCCCTCTCCAGTTTTGGGATTCCGCATGGCTGGTTGGATGGCAGACCTGTCAGTTGGCTCTGTTGGGTATGTGTAACCCCCATGTGGGGGAAACACAGTGCCAAAATGCTGCAGATGCATGAGATGGAGGGAGCATGTCATAAGACATTATAAAGGCAAGGTCTCACTCACTAGCTGAGGCTTACCATGTTTACAAAGGAAAAAAAAGAATGGAGCCCACCTTAAACTTTGGTCTTAAAAAAAAAAAAAAAATCTATTCTGCATCAAGATCCGAGAGTGACTGTAGACCATCTTTACCCAACTTTTAGCACTGGAGGCTTGACTCTTATACCTTCTGGAGTCACTTATACTTCTAATGAGCAAGTGTAAAACACTATCATATCAGAATGACAGCCTTTGACACTCACTCAGCATGGATGCAGATGACCACACAGAAGGTGCAATGCAGTAGGAAATAAAACAAAAACCCCTGAAATAATAATCAAACCTCCTGAACCCTTGAGAAGGCTTCACTGTATAGATCCAGCAGAGGTTTTGCAGTTCAGGTGTATCTCTATTTACCATTATGAATTCAGATTTTCAGAAGCAGAAACAAGTCTGTACAAGCAAACATTGTAGGAAACATTTTTCTGTCCAGTTTGGTTTTGCTTCTACTTTATGTAATGTAGCAGCTTCATAACTTCATGTAGGAGTCTCTTCCCCAGCTAAAACTACAGGTTAATTTCTCCATCTATAACCCAGCTCAAACAACTGCATCACAGCTGGAGAGTATGTCTGTCATTATATTTACTTACGCCACAAAAAAATAAACTGTAGATAACCAAATTTGTAAAGGAATTGGCAGAACTAATCAATTGTTATTACAAAGCTTGTTTGAAGATTAGATATTTCACTTTGAAATAATAATAAAATGCAGCTAAGTGGGTTAGGAAAAAGGAAATACCGTCTCCCTAAGTTACAGCTGATTATACTGCAAGTCTGCCACTCCATGTTTACTCTAAGGCAGATGTACTGATATAATAAAAAAAGCTGGAGTTATTTTAGTCATGCCTACTTTGCGGAGGGAAAAAGTTTGACCTTTTACCTTGCTCGCTGCTGTTGTCTCCGCTCTGGGAAGCGTGGCCCCCACTGGAGGGCCCCGGTGTGCCTGCCGAGTGCGTTGAGGTTGCATCATCGTGGTCTCTCCAAGATGAAGGATTCTGGTGTCAGAATGCCAAGGAATTTTTTCCACAGTTCCCATTCCAATAGCAAATGAAGAACAGAAAGAAAACCGGGAGAAGAGGGGAGGAGGGGAAAAGTATACACATTAGCATTTGTGAAATGTGCCAAACACCGATACTGTTTGCACAGTGTAATAATTCTTCAGCAAAGACAAGCGGAGGAGGTACAAAGATTTACTTGGTAAAATAAAGGACAGATTTTTTTCTTTTTTAAACTCTCCAAAGAGTTGTCTGGATTTAATTGTTTGAATAGTACTGCAGAAGAATATTTCAGGGGAGAAAAAAAAATTAAGTTTCTTAATGAGCTATACAGGGGGGCGGGGGGACACCATCAACCCACACAGTTTGCGATACTAGGTGTTCACCTTAGGGTCAGGATAGTTTGCATACCAACTATCTCCCCACACTTTGTTTTTCCAGACTGACTAGAGACAGGAGGGTAGAGGAAGAGGAGGGAAACTGTTTCAAGAAGTAGAGGAGAACATGCACGGGAGAGGAGCATGTCCTCACACCCTACCCTGTCTCTCTCACCCATTTGAATGCTGGAAAAACTTCAAGCAAATGCAAAGTTGTGGGGAAAAAGCAAGCTTTCTCTGAAAGATGTTATATACCAGGAAAGATGCTTCCTCACCCCCCCCACCACCACCACCTTGATATGACACATTTCAAAAGACTTTCTAGATGTATCACTCTAACAGTTCGCTTACAAGTATTGTCAAGAATAACCACCAGGTGATTATATAAAATAACATGTATAGTGATTTTTATGTAATACTTTCTACATTACTATGCATAAAACACAACAAAAGGGAACGCAGAGGACAGACGTACAAAGTTTGCCAAACTTGGCTAAGACCTCAACTACTGTACTTTAGCCACCTAATTAATGTGAGCTTTCTAATTTATTGAGTATTGGCTTTCCCGGAGCAAGGAGCTGCTATTTAAAATTGTAAAGTGAGGAAAACTTAATGTTACAGTTTAGTGCTACTTTGTTGAGTGTATTCTCCTCCTGTCCTCCTCCCCTTTCCTGATCATTCCCAATACCCTGCTGTTGCTTAAAGGAAAACAGGAATTCTACTGTACAGGAAGAGCTTTATCAGCACCACATGAAGGCAGGCAAGAGATGGAATTTCCTCTGGCAGAAAAGGAGAGCAAGAACACATGAAACAGATCAGACTAGGGGCTGGACCTGCATTACTTGTCACCTGTATGTGACAACTTAAATCAAGCACATTATAATAATTCGAAAACAACAACAACAAAAAACCCTCTCAAAAAAAAAAAAAAAATTTGCTTCTTAGGTTTGATTGTGTTTCCAATCTGCATTGTGAAATAACACCAGACTATTAAAGCACGAGGAGATACTGAAAGCAACAAGCGACAAGTTTGAATAAATTCTGTGAGCAGGACTGATTCCGACCTCATCTACCCTGATGTGTAGTAGGAATAAGTTCAACAAAATCAACTGATTTACCCATTGTAAAATTCAGTGTAAGTGTGATTGGAATCAGGTCCCAAAATATATATTGAAACATCTCAAAGTAATCTCCTAGCGCTGATTAGTACCACATGCTCTACAGCAACGCAAAATGGAACTGCCAGATAACGGCTTGCTACAATACCCAGTAACATAAATCTAATGGGCCTGACCCAGATCACAGCAGAGGCAAAGGGAAGAGCCCATGACTTCAAAAGGCTCCCAATAAAGCCCTAGGTGACCAAAGGGTAAGAAGGATCCAAATCCCCTTCACCTTACACAGACACACACGTGCGCCCACGTACGTGGTTCCATGGCAGGAAGATACGAGTAAAATCAGAAGACAGGCCGGGAACTGAAATTTGCCTAACCTGTCAGCGCAACAGACAGCACTGATGGCACAAAACCACCACCCCCTCCACAACCTAGAAGGCTGATCTACTTTTCCTCACGCAGAACCGCAACAGGAAAAAGAACCCACCAGACAATAGCATGTTATACTCATTGAGGTTGTTGTTTTAATTAGGTCTCAGAAATCATTATTAATACCGTAAACCCCGCGAATTTCATTTAAAAAACAAACAAACAAACAACAAACAAAAACATTTTACCATCGTTTTACAGAATCAGCTGGAAAGAAACACAAAAAGAAAGATGAGAAGGCTTGAAAGTTCAAGCAGCCCAGATGTTATTACAAAAACCCCCCAAAGTTGAAAATAAGGTTAACAAAAAGTTCAGATGGAAATAAAATGCAAAAACTGAGCAAGTTTCTTTACAGCCTGGGTTAAAACACAGTTGTGCCTATGAGCTTCTCTTTTTATCTCTGAGTTAGGAAGCCACTCAAATAGCTTCAAGCTGAAGGCAAACAGCAGACAGGAGCTCTTCAGCCCTCTGCAGCCTCTTAGCGTCAGCTGTTTGCCGGATGGTAATCAGATAAAGAGCTAGAAGAAATACATGAAAAAGGAAAGAAACAATAGCATAGCATGAGTTTAGCCCTCCAACAACATCAGGCTGGAACCTTCTTTTAGAAAATGTAATAATTGCAGCATGTTCACCTAGGCTAAACTTTCCAGGGAACACAGTGAGTTATGTTAATTTTATGCACTGCAGGCTCTCTTAAGCTGGCTGCTGTTGGAGCTCCTTATCACACATATGAAAATTACAATAATTAACTGGTAACACCTCAGCTATGTTTTAAGGCAAATGTCATCCAAAACCTATCATACAGTATTTCAAAAGCTAGACCGGCCTTTCTGTTTCAAAACCATAACGATTTGGAAAGGATCACTGAATAAGAATTCCCGCAGCTGAAAACACTTGCTGTCTCTACCAGGCTGAGTTGTTCTTGACCTCAGTTTGTAGATCCCGTTTTAGAAAGACAGACTGTATTGATTGGGAATTCAATGTATTTCTTGTGACACAGTTTTCTTGAGGAAGCGATTTGGCAGAATTTTGTTGAAGGACAGAAATAATAAGATGGGCTATTTACAAGACGCGCCAGGAGAATGTTGGAGGAATTTGAAAGGGAGGGAAATAGCTAGGCTTTAATATTATAAAAAAATGACAAATAACTCTAGGGGTGGAGTTTACAGCCTCATAAAAAGGCAGCATTCTTTTGCTTTGGACTAAGATTATTGCACGTGTCAGTGAACTTCTCTTTTTCTCCCCTAGACTGTTTCCAACTTTGCATCCCTCAAGAAAAGCTTCTTGGCCAAATGCCTAATCATAAGTAGTTATTTTATGTATGTCCTCACAAAAAAATGGGACTAAATGACATGTCTAAAGTGTACTTCACTGGAAACACTTTATCAGTACAGTTTAGGTACCTAAAGAGATCCTGATCTAAAGCCCGCTAACATTAATTTTTTTATTGATTTCAAGGAAATTTGTATTACGCTATCACACTGCAAAAAGAGCCCAGAAAACGAGATAGCTTTAGATAAATTACAGAAACTGTTAGCATGGCTTCTCATATCTTCTTGCAAGTTTAGTAATATACTTTGCAGAAACACGTTGAAGAGTGTGGATGATGTCTGCCAAAATGCAATTGCCTGGTTTGTGTACACGTGCATACTGTAAGATTTTCACACACATATGACCTAAACTAATGCCAGATACCATAGAAGGTAAACAGCACACATGTATCTATTCCCAGTAGTTTTAATAATTGGGAGTCAAATATGGTGCTCCTCTTGCTCTTACCTAATTGTGTTAAAGAGCAGTGTTACCAGGAGAAAAGCAGTGAATACTGAGTAGAGCACAATAGAAGGAGATGGAAAATAGATACAAGAAGCTAGGTCTCCAGGGGCAGTATTTTCTATTTGCTGGGCTACAGACTCGCAGCTGATAATGCAAGTTGTAATTAATATAAAAGCAGGAGACAATATGGGGAAAGCTTGTACTAGCAGGGCCACAGGAGATCACTCCGCTGCTATCCACTGTTTCTCATTTACACACACAGCCTTCCCTAGAAAACCCAATTTTGCCAGTGTTTTTTCCCTTGAAAGTTAAAAAAAAATTGATTTAGCACCACCATTGAATTTTGCTAAATCTAGGAAAGAGCAACAGAAAGGACAAGAGTCTCCTGGTATACAAAGCAAATCTGATGCGTTACTCTTTTGTCGATGCTGCAAATCTGGTGGAAAGTGTAAGAGTTTTTAGCTGCTGCAGGATTTCTTGAACAGAGATGTTGTAACAGAGAAATTTGATATAGGATAACCTTCTGTTAAATTGCAATTCTTACTTTGCATGCCCAGAATTTCCACTGGGCAAAGTCTGGCTAATTTTTTGTGAGTGTATGCAGTCCCACTAGGGCTGATTCTGATCTCACACTGCTTTTTATGGTGATATTAAAGACTCAATTAACCATAAGGAATTTGCTTCTTATTTATAACTGGGAAGTAAAATCGATCAGGCCAGCTGATACCCATGTGAGTAAGCCAAGCAGGATTTGGCTCACAGACGTTAACTGAAGTTTTAAGTATACAACCATGACAGGATCAGGCCCCTACATTTTATCAGATTAAATGGACAGAACCATTGATCTTGCAGGAACAAATAAAACACAACTTACTTTCATAAAAGAAACTGCAATAGCTATAAGGGCTCGTTCTTTGTGAAGACGGTTGGACTCAAAGGTCTGGAGGTTGCTCTGGTAAATTAATTTTGCAAACACAAAACCGAACTGAACTACTGATATGGATGGCATTCCCCCCCCCCCAAATACAAGCCAAATTCTGCTCACCTTCTTCTTACAAGTTAACACCTGTAAATACAGTGGAATGACTGACGTGATTGGTGCCACAAAAATCTGTATCCAGGTACCACCGTATATCAAAAGATGATATACTATGCTGGACATAGAAATGTACTCACATACATGCACGTGTGTTTCTGTGTGCGTGTCTGTGTCTGTCTATGTTTTGTAGGTATAAAGTTCAGGATGGTATCTTAGAAACTGTTGTGGAGCGCAGTAGTAATAAACTTACTATATAAAGAAACT